CTGTCGCGAGAGATGGCTCGACCGATCGCGCCACTGACTTTTCTACATTCGAGTCGGCTGGTCGACTCGACTCGACTCGACTCGACTCGACTCGACTCGACTCGTCTCGTCTCGTCTAGTCTCGTCTCTTCTCTCACCGTTTTTGTCGCACCAATGAAAGCTTTCGAGCTTTGTCTACTCTGCCCCGATCGACGACTACTACCAGCCCCGATTACTAGCTACTCGGTCCTTTCGCTCGTCGAGATTCTCTTGGCGTACATGTTCTCTCGTCTCTTCCCCCACCCTATCTCTCTCTCTCTCTCGCTCGCTCGTTCGCTCACTCTCTCTCTCTCTCTCTCTCTCTCTCTCTTCCTGTGTCTGTCGATCGTTCCCTTCTCGACGTAGGATCCGCGAGACAATTTTCCAGAACTATCCAGCGCGTTTATCGCGGCCAAGGATCAGTGAGAATCGGTCTTGACATGCTCGGCGGCAGCTGATGCCGCCGCCGCCGCCGCCGCTGATGCTGCAGGTAGTTCCAATCTCGAAAGGGGGAGAAACAGGAAACAAGAAAACAACCCACTGACACCACTACGATGATGATATATGCATACGCGTGCGTCCACGTATATACACATACGTACGTGCGTGTGGTTCGATGTTAAACTGTACGTCGACGAGTGTGTACGTTTTTTTCTTTTTTACTAAAATTTATATCTGTACATATGTATAGGTTAATTAACACCTGTGCGTATATCAACCTATGTATATATTTGTTCGTTTGATTTGTATCACGTATATATAATCATACATACCTGTGTAAGTGTTTATGTATACTTAAGGAATGTATATGGGCACACACGCGCGCGCGCGCGCGCTCGTATCTACGTGTATACAGACTTATACATCTAAATAATTTTTAATTTGTATCGTTTATGTATGCGTGTGATTATGCGCGGTGCGCGCGCGCGCACGCTTGTATATACTTACGAGTATTTGCCCGTGTCACGGATGTATGGATAAGTGTGTTTGTCGGTGTATGTGTAATAATATGTATATATGAAGAAATACGTATATAATATGTATATATACTTGTATTTTACGTGTAAATATTATATAGTAAACCCAGATCGTACGCGACGAAACGCGTTTTCGATCACAACGACACGGAAAAACTGATCTATCTGTACGCGTGTCCCGTTTTCTTAACCTACTCGACTGTACCACCGACGACGACGACGACGACGACGGCGATGAGGACGACCGAGTGTCCCAACGACCATACCACCGCTCCGCAGCAATCAATACGCAACAATGGACCGGGACCAATAAGCTCAGAGCTTTTCCTGACGTAGACGCACGCTCCGTTGCTACAGTCTATCTCCCCACCGTGTCTCCTGTTCTACTAACCGAGCTTATCGCCAGAGGACGCCGCCGAACATCACTACGCTGCGCCAAAACAGATTTAACCCCTGTCATAGCAACTGTTCAAGCTCGCTACAACAATAAATTATGTATTTGGTTTGTGCTGTTACTGCCTACTTCTTTTCGTACTTTTATGTTGTTTCTGGACATTTGATCTCTCGCGCTCCGACCTCTTGCATTTTATATTCGAATTTCAGATTTACAGTATCTGCATAAGCATGCCACCGTGAAAGTTTTATTAAACGGTTTCCCGTTTCTTCACCCGCAACAGAACTTTCGTCGAGTATCGAAGAACCTGTACCCGCACTGTCGATGAAATTCCATTTAATAATTGCAACAGCCACGAGATTGATATTTATTGACATTTATTACACTTTGTCGCACTTTTTTACAATTTTATTCCGTTTCTTCTGTTTCTTCCAAAATGTTTTACAATGGAATTTATTGTTTTTATTAAACTATTAATATTCGTAATTGTAATAACTGAGAACAAAACAAGATATATTACCAAACAATTGTGAACAGAGAAATTAAATATTATAAAATGTCTAAATCAAACGTTTACTTGTATAAATCAAATTATTATGTATCGCACAAGACTTCTGATTGAAATTTATGAGAAATATTTTCTCAATTAAGATTAAGTAATTTCAGTTTCTTTTAGAATGCTGATGCAATTTAAACAAATAATTTTAAAATACAATGTATATAAATCCTGATTTTACATTGTAATGATAAAAATATATTCAAGAAACCAATTTGATGTTTTTTATTCAACTACTAATCTTTCCTACTTCTTATTTCCTATAACATATATTATTTATTAGTATAACATTAATAACAATAAATTATATGACTCTATATAGCATCAGCTTATACTTATTTTGCTTACCTTACATGATATTTTAATTTTGCACAAATATACATGTGCATATTTTAATAAAAATAAAATATAAATAATAAAAATATTTATCATTTTATATGGTTTATCGGTTCGTATTTAAATTTCCCTTGTATACAAGGTAATGTGATTATCTTCATAGTGTCCAACCGATGGTTGTGAACAATTGACTTATAGGTTATGTACTGAGCTTCAACTTTTGTCAAATAAACAAAAAGTAAATTAAAGAAAATATGTGCGATTGTGTATACTCTGTACATATATTGTTGCACATTGATGTATTGAAATCTATAAGAAATAAAATAGACGTAATTTAAAGATAATAGAAACACATAAAAATCAAACATGTCAGAAGAAAAGGCTGAAAGGTATTATTAGACTTTCATATTTATATATATATTATATATATAAACAATAAGATTATAATATAAACAATAAGTTTTCTATGCTTGATTCAATTTAAAAATATTTGCTCCAAACCAATATGACAAAAGGAGTATTTTAGAGGTTATAAACTGTTATATTTTATGTCAGTGTTTTTTAAGTTACATACAAATGTATTTTTTTATAGTCCAATCGATAAAGTAGATGGAACACAAATTGAATCTATTGACGATAAGATAAAAACAAAGCATGATGATAAAAACAAACAAAAACATAAACCAGAAGAAAATACTGAGAAACCTAATGGCCGAACAAATAATAATGAAACTGGAAATTGTTATTGGTAGTTCATTTAAATTTTATACTAGAATAGGTTATATAAAAAATCAAGCATATATCAATGATTTACTCTTTCAGTGGAAAAGAAAGAAATCTTAATATTATAGAACTATTATGTGCTAGCTGTTCAAGATGGTATCATGAATCCTGCATTGGTTATCAACTGGGTAAATTAGTACCTTTTATGATGAATTATATATTTATGTGCAAGAATTGTTCTCCAACTGGTTTAGAAAGTTTCAAAAAGAATCAAGCACGTAAGAATAGATTTGAACAGTAACTATAATGTATAATAAACAATTTGGTATTTTAATGAAGGACTTAAAGAAACATGGCTTTTCTAGCATTTCCACAAATGTGTGTGACAGCAATAGCAAATTTACTACAAATGTCTCAGAAAGAAAATGAACAAAGAACATTTTTTCATAAAGACAAGGATATTATTCCTTTTATTGAATGTCATTGGGATAGTATGACTACAATGCCACGCAGAGTAACCCAATCTTGGCATGCAACAGTAAGTCAAATCTACAACTAAATAATTTAATTAATTGAATATAATTATAAAAATAAGCGACATTTTTGAGATATTTTGATTATATATTATATAATTATTTTTAATTATATATTCTTAAAAATGATTTAAAATTATTTTATATTCAGAAGTAAAAATGACTGATATTTTAACATATTTAATATATATATATATATATATAACAGATACATAGAGCACTATTGAAAGATGTTGGAACATTATTCACTATTGACGAAAGTAGTTCAGATGGACAGTTATTTGGACTTATATGTTCTGACCTTCAAATGATTAAACCAAATTATGAAGCAATGATTAAAGGTGGTCATTTAAAAGTAACTGAAATGGGTGTTCAGCATGTTGGTAAGTTTAGTTATGAATCATACATTATGTACTGAACCAGAAATATAGCTCTATTAACAAATTCAACATTATAGTTACTTATAGTTCTTATTTTTTTATTAGATTACTGCATATTCCTAGTAATGTATTCATATCTGTTTTTATCTACAAATTCTTAATAGTTAGTTTATTCTGTTTTGTTTTAGTTACTTCTTATCTTATCAAGATATTAATCAGTATCATGGTATCACACAACAATCTGCTTAATCGTAGAATGTCTATGACTTAAATAGGTTAAGTCATTTAACAAATTCTACAATGTATTGTAATTCAATGTAACATGAATTGTAATTCATGTTCTCAATATATAGTAAAAGGCTGTTATAATTTAGACTGATAGTTTTATTCTAAACAAAGTTGAATGTTTCAAATCTTATTTTACGTTATGTATCTTTATGCAATTTTACATTTTCCATAATGACTAATTAATAATTAATTAATTAAATAATTACGTAATTAATAAACATAAATATGGCATATACAGTACCACTTAGTGGTGGTTTTCGTGGACGCAATGCGAAACGTAAGTTTCCGGGAGAAGGAGCAGGTACAGGACCTGGCAAAAAGGGCAGAGGTTCTGATATGACAGCTCCTAAATTACCTGCGCATGGATATCCTCTCGAACATCCTTTCAATAAAGATGGCTATCGATATATTCTTGCTGAACCTGATCCTCATGCACCTTTCAGACAGGTTTGTAATCATGATGTATCATGATTTATCATGTTTCATAATTCTGCTATATTGTGAACTTCATCAATGTTATTTAACAGGAATTTGATGAAAGCAGTGATTGGGCTGGAAAACCTATTCCTGGCTGGCTATATAGAGCATTAAGTCCAAGTACTGTTTTACTTGCTTTACATGATCGAGCACCACAGCTTAAAGTTTCAGAAGACAGGTTGGCAGTAACTGGAGAAAAAGGCTATTGCATGGTCAGAGCAACTCATAGTATGTCAAAATCATAATTTACTATATCAGCTCTTTCATTGCATCAAAATAAGTATATATTAAATCATTTAGAAATAAAATGTTCTTCCGTACATATCTTTTGTATATTATTTACATTGCTTACTCACTCTTTAGATGTATGTAGAGGTATATGGTACTGGGAAGCAACTATTGAAGAAATACCAGAAGGATCAGCTACAAGACTAGGATGGGGTCAGGAATATGCCAATTTACAAGCTCCACTTGGTTATGATAAATTTGGATATTCTTGGAGATCTAGGTACAATCCATAAAACAACTTCAATATAGAACAGTATTTGTCATGAGTATCTAATTATAATTATTAACAGAAAGGGTACACGCTTTCATGAAAGTAGAGGTAAACATTATAGTAATGGTTATGGAGAAGGAGATACATTAGGATTCTTAATAATTTTACCTGATACACACGATGCTTCACATTTACCAAATACCTATAAAGATCGGGTAAGGATTAAATGTGTATTCGTTTATTATATTTTCATATATATTTCATAAATCAATTGTTCATAAATTAGCCCCTAGTAAAATTCAAAAGTCATCTATATTACGAAGAAAAAGATCAAGTACCTGAAGCGCTTAAGGCCTTAAAACCACTACAAGGAAGTAAAATTATATTTTACAAAAACGGAGTAAATCAAGGTGAAGCATTTATTGATATTAATAAAGGAGCTTATTATCCCACAGTTTCTATTCATAAAAGTGCTACAATTTCTGTTAATTTTGGACCTAATTTTAAATGTCCTCCTACTGATATTACATTTAGAGGGGTATGTATAATGTAACAAAAATTAGGGATTATGTTATTTAATACAACCTTTCGTCAATCATTTATATTTTGCAGATGCATGACAGAGCAGAAGAAACAATAGCAGAACAATCTATGGCTGACATTCTTTATTTCACTGAAAATGAAGGAAAATTAAGATTAGATACTTTTGCTTTATGACATTAATGTATCTTTTTATTTTTTTTAATTACCTTCAGTTCTGATTGAGTGTTATCAGTAATTATATTAACATGAATTTTAAAGTTTATATTTATTTTATTTTCATTTCCTTAATCTTATACAACTATTATATAAAATAAAATTAGAATTTTAAAAAATTCATCTAATGCGAGGTACGTGTGTGCCGTTTGGAATTTGCACATTTGAAAATTGATATATTTGAATCTTTGAGATTTACTTTCCAAAACCCCCTTTGCACGGTGGACTTGGTGTTATGGTATTTTCATTTTTCCATTGATCGGGTGTTTTTGCCTTTATAAATAAATGGCAAACATTTATATTCAAATTTCTACTAAACTTTTTACATATTAAAATATTTTTATAATAATACTTACTACAATTGATAATGCATGCACATTACATTTTAATTCTTCGTTCAATAATTTATTTATCATTCGATGGCGCTAAATCAATAAAAGATTTAACTTTTCAAATATATATAGTGATAAGCAGTACAATTCTATAGTTCGTTCAATGAGTCAAGGTTGTAAATGTATGGATGTAATGTCATTTAAATGAAAATAAGTGTTATCATGATTCGTAGATATTATAGCAAAGACACTAAGGACACCTACTTATAAACTGATTCTCTGATATAAACAAATGATTAATGTCTAATGATAAGCATTAACTAAGAATTAGGCTTCTGTCAAGTGCTTTAGCAGGTGGATGTTTTGTTTAGATCTGCTGCCTCATTTCCAACGAACTATTTTTTTTTTTTAATATACTTTATATAAATAAACATATTAGAATCTACCACTAAAATCTGTATATTACATATTAGGATCTACTTGCTAAAATCTATATATTAAAATCTTTTATTTTTATTTTATTTAGAGTTTTTAAAATTCTTACCTCAATTAGTGATATGTCTTTGAATTTATCAGAAACAACAATTACTTTAAAATGTGTTTCAGATCCTTTAGGAACATTATGCATATATGACTCATTTATAATTTCAATATGAGATGGATTTAAAGAATCTGTCAATTTTTCCTTTATTGAAAATTCTACTGGATTATCTTTTTCTTTGTTAAAAGTTGTACTGGACATTTTTCTAACTAAAATTGATGTATTCCTATAACCTACAAATACAATTGATATGTATTTTAAAGTATTCCTACATTATATATAGTAAGTAATTTTTTAATCAACAATTAATATTGCAATTGCAAATGAATTTCGTAATGACATTCAAGAAAATATGTATGTAATAAAACAAAATATAACCTCTACTTGTATAAATCAATATACTACAAGCAAAAAAATATATGACATTATTATTATTATACTGTACAACGTGTCACTCACTTTTTTCTAGTATTACCGCTATATTATACATTTATTAAGTTATATTTCCTTGAACAGAGAAATTATTGAAATCTTTTTAGTTATAATCACATGATGAGTAAATCTTTTAATCAGGTATACATAGATACATGATGCTTAAAAAATACACATGTACGTGGAATGTTTTGCAAATATCACGTTCTACTTATTACTCTATGAATATATTTTTCTCAAACAGATGTAACTTTTTTGAACTGCATGTTCTTTTTAAAACTTTATTTTTCGTACCATCGCTACTTCTTTATCCGTTTTGTATTGTTGAATAAAATTTTCCTACTCTGAATTTTCTTTTTAAATCTGCGTCCTAGTCTATCTGTTATGTTTATGTTTCTTTTTTTTATTCATTTTCACATTTGAAAGAAAAATATCGTATGTTACTATTTATCAGTGAAGAGAATAAAACTGACTCAAATTCATAATTAACTTTATTTCTTTTTGTTTTCGTTATTTTTTTTGGTTTCGGGACAAAGGAGGAAAGCAGTAGGTTATTAAAGTAAACAAATGTTTAAATAACAATTGAAATATTTTAAGTGATGTAATTACGTATACACGTAATATATCCTTTTGAATACTTCTTTATTTGATATTGTTGTATTCAGACAAATTCACGAGGAAAGATCCAAGCTGCGGCAAAAAATTTACAATACAAGTTTTGAACAATAGTTATCAAGTGACTAGGTGACGGAAGCAGTTCCATCAGTATTTCATCGTTTATAAAAGTCGTAGGCACGTTATTGATTCTTAAACTATTCGCATCGCCGTCAAACATTATGCCATCACATTCATGATAAACAAACAATGCAATAATATTATTTACATTCTAAAAAATTTACGATAATTAAAAGGTCGAGCCATAAAGGAACGTTGATGCAATTTATTCGTTACCATCTACTGAAAAGTAACGTATTTTTTTTTTTTCTTTATTTTATATACATTTATATTTTTTTTTGTTTGTTTGTTTGCTTTACTTTGAATTATAAATTATCGATCGCATAAAACTGCAAGTGCAAAAATACGTTCAACATAAAATCACTTCACTAAAGTATAAAACGTGGTACGACATTATACATAAAATTCTTTTGT